TTCTGAAAGGCTCCGCCTCTGTTTTTTTCCCTGACAGCCCGTGGTACAGCAGAAAAGCACAGTTACATTCCTGCATAGCGCCAGCTCAGCCTTCCTTGGGCTGACTGAGCCGAGCTCCTCGTGCAATGCTGCAGCCCAGCAGCAGCTCAGGGCTCCCTGCTGACCTCTCTCCTATTTATCTGCTTCTTGTTTGCACTGGGTGCCAAAACCAAGCCCCGGGTCCCAGAGCCAAACCCCAAGTCCCAAAACCATGCCCTGAATCCCAAAACCGGGCTCCGAGTCCCAGTACAACGCCCAATGTCCCGATGTGGTCTCCACGCACAGAGCAGAGGGCAGGAGCTCTTCCCTCAGCCCCTGGCTGTGCCACGGATGGGCTTGCAGGTCTCCCGGTGGATTTTAACAGACAAGCTAGACGTTCGCATTTCTTCTGACCACCGTCTGATGCGGCGTCTGGACTTCTGAGCAACAAGCTGCACGGGTGAGATCGTAAGGGCTGCAGAGGGGAAGCAGTCCGGGCGCAGCCCCGGCCGGGGCTCACAACCAAGCGCTCCTCCCAGGTGTCCCAGGAGCAATCAGCTCCCCCAGGGGAGCCCGGCACGTTGTCTTCCGTCGTTGCTTTCGCCTTGATCCGAGCGATATGGTAAGTCAGGCTCCTCTGAATGGCCTCTCAAAGAGCCGTCTCCCCCAGCTGATGGCGGGGAGGCTGGGAAGCCGGGGCTCCCGATACACAAAGGTAGTGTGAACATGCCCCAGGGAGCCTATTGCCAAAGCTGTGTTGAAAGAGAGAAGAAAGACCACTTCCCCGCCATTGATGTGGTAATGGCCTCCAGAACACTGAAGTGTGGCTCTGTCAATGACGCACTGATCGCTATCTGAAAGTCAGTCTTCGGGGATATGAATGGAGGCTATTTTGTTCTTCTTCGGTTCCTAAATTAGTGCATCTGAGCAGCCAGCGCTGGGAGAGAGAGCGCAGCTCAAGTGGTGAGAAAGTCCGTCTTTCTCATGCTGCCGCCTTTGTGCGCTGCCCGCGGGTGAGCGGCCGGCTGCTCTCGCACGGAGCCTTGCACTGCAGTGCGAGCGAGGCTGGCACATCCCAGCCGAGAGCCGTCGGTGCGGGGCGCCTGCAGGTCAGGATGCTCTTCGCCGGGGGAACAGGCCGCGGTGCCGCTCGGGGTCCCCGCTCCGCTCCCAGCTGTAAATCCTTTCCGTAAATGAGCTACTAACGGTGCGACTGCAATGCAGAAACCTCCATCACAAATGAAGCAACAGTGACAGCACGGTAGGATGCTCCGGGGAACCTGGAGGCACCTGCAGCATTGCAGTGACCCCAGGAGTGCTCCTCACTTCCTCCGTGGCTTACAGCAATTCTGTCCTTCCGAGCTAGGTTTCACTTTCCCCTCCCTTACAGTGTCGGGCTCTAAAATATCCTATGTGACATTTTCTCTGTGTTAGCAGGACGTTTTTCTGCTGTTTCTAGCAGCACTGAATAGCAGAGGAAATTGGCCAACACATTCAAAAGTTAAATTAAAATCTAGCTGCAAATATTGGTGTCACTGCAGCGTGAATAACTTCACTGCCTGGTTAAAGATACTGGGGGAAAGTGGAGAATCGTATCAGGCAGAAATGCAGCTCAACTCACACAGATAAAAGTAACCCAGGGCTGCTGAGGGTGACTTCCAGAACAGATATTGTGTATTTGAATTCCACATTACCAATAGCAGTGGAGGAATTGCTGTGCCGTGGGTTAAGGTCAGGGCATTCCATGATTCTGTGGCATTGCTGGCCTTGTTCTGTACTGACTGCTAGGATCTGTATGAGGCGTTTGGCTGGGGAAGAACTGGATTTACAAGCAGGTAATCTGCAGCAGTCATTTTGGAAAGCTTTAATCATGGGTTGTTGGTGGTGTCAGGCATTTTGTGTGGATTAAAGAATGTATGATACGTCTAGAACCCACAGAAGTAACCAAGTCTCCTGGTACAGTCATCTTCTCTCACTAGGATGTGTGGCTGATGCTCATCAAACCACTGCGCCGCTTTCCTCTCCATGTGTCCTGAAAACAAAAGGCATGAAATGTCACCCCAAGTGCAGTGTTTGTCCCTCCATCCGGACCCACGTCTTGTGGGACCGCTTTCCACATTCTTGCTCCTTGCTGAGCTGTTGCGGTGGAAGCCTTTCCCCTTTAGAGCAATGTTATTTCTTTTCATTCAGAGAAAGAACAAATAACAAACACAGCTATTTTCCATTTCAGAGTGCAAGATGTAATATCTCTGGAGACGTTAACCTTCTTTCCAGAGTTGTTTTTGTGGTTGAAAGAATAAATCTGTTATCATTGAAAAAAGAGAAAGATCTGCACCTCATTATTTCCAGAAATAAAGCTGACATGAGGAGATTTATTAACAATTGAACTGAAGAGAGATCCACTCCCAAAGACTTTGTGTTGTAGGAAAAAAGACAGAAAGACAATGGGATGGACACAGGGGAACCTAGAAGAGGGAATTGCTCTGTAATGTTAATAAGAAAATATGTTCTTTTGGGGAGGACTGTGAGAAGCGGCTTGGCAGAGCAGGCAGGAGTTCTCCCAGCGCCCTTCTTGTCCAAGGTGCTTGGCTGAGCTCAGCTGCATGGAGCAGAGATGTGAGATGCAGTGTGTGGGCTGGCATGGCTGGAGGGAGGGCTCTGGTGGGAGGAAGCATGGAGTGCAAAAGCTGCAGTGTGGCATCCTTTCCTGCACTGCCCATCGCTGTGTCTCCCTTTCCAGCTTCCCCCCTGCAGCCGAGCTCCGGGCTCCCTGTGCTCCCCCCATCCTGCTGGCACTGCTCCTGCTGTGCCTCCGAGGAGCAGCAGTGAAAGTCCTCCTTGTACCCATGGGAAGAGCTGCGTTGTGGCAGCTGGTGAAGCGGCAGGGCACAGACACGGTGCTGAGGTGGCAGTTTTTAGGGGCAGGTTGGCTTCCTGTGGGCACTACCTGGGATGCCAGATGTCCGTGGCTCTTCTTCCAGGCCTGTGCCCCCTCCAACACCTCTCTGGGGTTTTTGGTTTGGGGCGTTTTTGTTTGTTTGTTTCTTTCTTTCTTTATTTTCCTTCCTTCCTTTACCTCGAGGCCGTCGCCAGGTTTGTTTCCTGATCTCTGCTCAGGGCTGTCTGCTTTGAAGAAAACTTCTCACCTTTTAGTTAATGAAGGAATGTGAGGAATGAGGCCCCGTGGCCCCTGCGTTACCACCCAGCACTGCTGGCACATGCAGGGGAGGAAAAGCAAGGTGCCCACACCTGGGAACAGCCTCTGACCTGCGGGAGCTTGGTGGGGCAGCAAAGGAGGGATAGCAGTAATGTGCACACCTGGGCACTTCATTCCTGTGGCCTTTTGCTACCCTAAAAAATACCTGTTGGTAGTGCTAGCAGCAGTGTAGCTGTATATCTGCAGAACCTGATCTGCCGTGTAGAGTTTCAACTTGTTGTAGCAATTAAGTTTCCTTGACAATATTAACTTCTAAGGGAGATGGGTGAGTAAATCAGTCAGCAGGGCTGTCTGGAGGAATGTGGGTCTGGCTGCGGTGGCTCTGAGCCATGTGTGAGCACAGGTGGGCTGGCTGGGCAGGAGGGGTTGCTGCCACCCCCTGCAGCTCTCCTGGTTGTCGGATCACCATACCCTAACTTCCTATTACAGCTGCTGCGTCGCAGCACCCTGAAGAGCATCCAGCAGGGTGGTGAACGAGAGAACAGAGCTTTGGTGGATCTGAGTGTCAAAGTGGAGACTATTGTGGGCCCTATTCATCTGCTCATGGCAGCTCCGTGGTGCCAGTGTGAGCAACGAGCTGTGCTTCCCCACTGGATTAAGCCACAGGCAGCAGTGAGTTTGTGCTTGTGCTCTTCTGAGCTCTGAAATGCGCTCAGGCACATGCACACTGTGTTCACTCCCACCAGAAAACATCTGGGGACAGGGAACATCTCAAACGGCCTCCCCCATTTGCAGGTGTGCATAACTCAGGCTCCTGCAGTGACACTTGAGATTGTGTTTGTCTGTGTAAGCAATAAGCCAGTCATCATGTCCACAGAGACCTGGAATAGATACTAAAGGAGAAATATCTGCTCTGGATACCTCTTGTTATCAGTGGGGTTAAAGTCGGATTTCCAGAGCAAACGATTTCCAGTCCAGGAGGGGACCACTGCCTGCCTGGACTCACTGGCTGTGCTGGCTGGGTCTGTGCTGGTGTTGCAGGATGTCTGCTTAACATCTGCTGCATTTTGCTGCAGAAGGGACCTGGTGGCCCTGTTTTCACAGCAGTGGTGTGCAAACTGAGCAATGAGCATTATCCTCACAGTGAACATCAGAGTGTGCTGCTCAAGAAAGCTTTGCTGTGTCCTGCTTTGAACCCATGTGTGACTGACAAATTGTAGAGTCCTAGTTATCCACGCAGGTAATCCCAGAGCTGGGAGAGGCCCAATGCTGCTGTCTTATCTGCAGCCATCCTATGGCCTTTTCCAGCACATCAGCATCCCTTCAGACCCATGCGTATGCACAGCATGTAAATCAACCCAGAAGCCATGCAGTTAGCTGGCTGATGAGCCCAAAGAGCTGTACTCACTGCTCAGTCACTGCTTCTGATGGTGCTGAATCTAATTAGTGTCTGAGATCAACCAAACAATATGCTAGCCACTGGCCTGGCTACATGGCGTTGCTTTACCCTCACTTATCTCTGCTGCACCCATGGCTTTCAGACAGATATTTCCTGAATACAATATACAAATACAGTTCAGAGCTGCCTTGCTATTGAAGAATCCAAAGAGCCTGGTAAGCTCTTGGCATCCAGAGGTGCTCTGTCCCCTGGCAGAAAGAGGTGCAGCACTTGCTGGGCTTGAATAGTGCGAGTCCTGCAGTGCAGGCATTTCTGCTCCTCTCTGCACTAATTCAGGGCCCCTGGGAGGATGGTTTCTCCTTAGAGGGGTGAGATACACCACAATGGACGTTGCAGTGACTTCTCTTCACCTCTGATTCCTTCCAGAGCACAGTTGGAGAGAATCGATGGCTTCAGGGGCACCTGATACAGTTGCTGCTCAGATACTGTGATCTGAACGCAGCAGCAAGATGGGCACAACACTGCAATTTGCCTGAGGAGATGCTGCCTTCTGAAGTGGCTGATGAGCTTCAAAAGCTTGAGATCCAAGAGAGGTAAATACCCCATTTTGTGCCTCTTCAGTGTAGATTACTTATCATACAAGGACTGTGTATTTGCTTAAAATAATCTGCTGTAGTGCTTCCTTGGTGAGATAGTTTTGCAAAAACTTCCTCCATTTAGTGAGATCACATCTTGGTGATAAATATGGCACATTTGCTTTTCATATGCCTGGAATTGTCTGGAAAGGTGCACTTAAAGCTCACTCATGAGAATTTAGAAGCTGTATGAGGTTGTTTCCTGCTGTGGAGGGGTCTTCAGACTCTCTGCCAGATCACCAGCACAAATGAAATGGTGTGCGCAGGATCTGAACGTGCATTTACCTTATTGAGTTGATTGCATGTTTTCCATATACTCTGCATCCCCCACTGCACTCTAACCTGGTTTAATGTCTTTTGGGAGACTTGTGGACAACAAAGTAGTTTTAAAATTCCTCAAAATTTCCTAATTGTATTTGTTTGCTTCCTCCTTTGACAGCTGTTAACCCAGTCTGGAGGTTTTACTTTATCCAACACTGTGAGAAGTAATGGGGATTTTTGATGATCCTAGAGGAGTTGTGTTAATAGAATTTGATGAAACCAGACTCTCAGGCACAAATCTACCCGGTGATGTTCAGATGCCCTCAGCCCTCTGGTTAGTTTCTGTCCCCCTTCCTTCCTCTAATGCAGCCCCCACAGTGCAGTGCCACAGTTCCCCTCCTGCTTTGGAACCCCATGTTCCATGCAGCAGGTGAGCCAACGGAGGCTGTCTGATCTCCACAGTGCGCTCCATGTGAAGGTGTACCAAAGCTTTGCAGTCCTGGTTCTGTGTCTTCTGGATGTTCTGTGCTGTGTACTTTGGAGTTAACAGCCCCACGTCATCCTCCTTGTGCAGCAGTGTCCTCCAGTCGCTTAGTTGTGCTGTATGGAGGAAGAAGGGTATAATGTGCTGAGCCTCAGTTGCTTGCTCATGAGTGAGGGTGTTTCTGCCACACTTCAGTGGCTCTGCCCACAAGCATTTTAAAGCAGATCTCTAAGGTAGTGTCGTGTTCGGCACTATTAAAGCATTTTTTTCCTGCAGAAAGATCTGCACACTGCTGCTGGCTCCTGCAAGTCCTGAGGAACTGCAAAGACTGCAGGGGGTGCATGTGGGCTCTTCTCAGGATCTCACCCAGGAGATCTGGAACCTTGGGCTGGGTGAGGTCTGGTCCTGTGAACCCAGGCTGGCAGCCTCTGTGCCCATGCATGTTCACCACCAAACTCCTGCAAGGCTGCAGGCTACCACAGCCCTTGGGGTCAGAGTAATTACTGTCGCTTTGCTGGCCTGTTGCAAGCAGCATTTTCTCTACTTGTTGAAGGGCAGGAATTTATCTAATTGGATTCTGTGCGCAGAAGAGCACCAATCCCTGAACACTGAATGCAAATGCAGGACAGCTGTGGCTGTGTGGTTTTGGTGGAGCATAGCTCAAAGCCTTGCTGACGTTCGAGGAGCAGTCGCATATTTCCAGGTAGAGTCAGGGCTTTTGCCAAAAAACAAAAGAAGCAGCAGAACCACAGTGCATTATGTCCCTTAGGACTCCACTCTTATAGGCAGTCACCTTACTGCAGGGTGCTGGGACTCAGCCTCTCTTACTTGATGCCTCTGTTTTACCGTTCTGTCCTCAATTGTGAAATGTGGCGTTGGGTTTGAGATTGTTATTTTTTAACGTGGAGATTGGTGTTTCTAGTTCAAAAACATGGTGAGATTAGAGGAGAGTTTGTGAGAAAATCTTGACCACTCCCAAGAGGTAACTATTTACATTTTTGTACAAGCTGATAGCTCATATCTTTAGCATCCTTCAAACATAACCCTTGGAACCAGTAACATGAGTGAATAAGTTCATGTATGGGGCTGAACTTTGCAGTGCACGTGATGGAAATCTGAGATTGGAAATGGGTTGTGGGGCCTTTTGGAGAAGTTGGCATCACACATTGCCCGTTTGGGAAGGATTAAAGCCAGCAGAAGATCAACCATCACTGCTCTTTTGGTAGCAAATTGGAAGCTTTCAGCCCCAATTCAGCACCAGTTGCTTGGTGCAACAAGCAGAGGCAGGGGCTGCATTCTCTTCCTCCTCTGCTCCTCCACATTGTCTGAGGCTCTCACATGCTGCTGCAGAATGTGCAGTTCCATCCACACGATTTGGGTTCTTCCTCTTACCTTACATTCTTAGCATTGAACTTTCCTATTGATGTTGTATGTCAGATTTATGAACTCCCTCCAACAGTTAGGATCTGTTCTGGGGTGCCTGGTTAATGCTGACCCCTCGCCAAGGGGACCGTATTAAACAGAGCAAGCCTGAGACTGGGCAAGGTTACCTGCTCTAACAAGTTCAGTGTCAGGTGTCTTGTTTTCAGCACTAGAGCACTGGAGCAGATTTCCATCCCCGGAAGAGGTGATTCTGAAAAAAAAGAAACCAAAAAGCCGGAGCTTTTCTTGGCTAAAAAGTCATAGTTTAGGAGTATAGTTTGGATTAACTTGCTTTAATTAGAAGATGAATGAGTACATAATGTATCACTATTTTTAATGGTAATGAACTGGGGAAGAGATCACTGATGGCCTTTAACAATTCACGTGCTGAAGTTCATGGATCTGATCTTTCTCCCAGTGCGGAGCTGCACGGGTTGGTGTTCAGGCCCAATGTACCCTCGAGGAATGTGACCCAGATGTACTCACACTGAAAGCACTGTCCACAAAGACCCACTTCTCCAAACAGTACATGGCTTTCTTGGAGCACAGGAAACTTGTCTGTCAGGGACATGTTCTGCTTAGATCTGATGCATTGTGGAGCTGCTTTCTCCCCCTTACTGAAGCTGCACGACTGCCTGCTGGGAGCCAGGAGGTTTTTGCATGAGGTGTAATCCCTCAGAACACAAAGGGGTGGTTAACAGGAGTGTGACCTAGCCACAAACTGTGCATCTCAGGAGATAAAAACCAAAGAGGTCGGGAATCTCAGGGCATGCCTCTGCTCCAGGAAGCCTCAGTATTGTGCGGGTGGAGTGAAGGCACACTGATCAGCAGGTGCTCTGCCATCCATGCGGAGCTGTAGCAGACAAGCAAAATCCTTTGTTGCTGCAGTTTTGCTCATCCGGTTGCGATAGCTACTGTAAGATTAGTGGAGCCATGGAACCTAATAAAACAGTCTGTCTGCCTTATTATTTGTTGAGCTAACAGTGCAGCAGGTTGCCAGAGAGGATGTTCACACTGTAGAGGACAAGGTGATACCTGCACATAAATGATATTATCTCTCCACTGGCCGCAGCTCATGTCCCTCCTGAGCTCTGCAGATGAGAATATTCCTGGAGACCTGAGACTGCACACCTTCATCAAATATTTTACACAAATATTGACTTCCCCGTGCACACAAATGCATGGAAAGGAGTGTTTGTACAGTGAAAGCTGCACTGATGCAAAATTAGTCACACAGTCCCCTAAACATAAGCTTAGTCAATATTTTCTCAAATAATAACCCATTTCAAGTCTCTATGGGAAAGAGACTATCCAGAAATTTGTGACATGTCCAAAATAGCTGGTTATTTTTATTAGCTTCTTTCCTCTGATTGCATCATCTGGCTGAAACGCCGCAGCAATACACTGACTTTCAGCTATGAGGCCATTCCAGGAGACTTTGCTGTGTTTTGTAAGGACAGAATGCTGTCTGAGATCTGCTGTGGGCAGTCAGTAAGCTCGTTCCTGCAGGCATCTTCCCAACAGGCCCACAGTGTTAATGCAGACACCAAATCTCTGTGTGGCACATCTGAACACCAAGGCACGTGTTCTGTGGGTCAGCTGGCAGCGTGTTCTTGTTCTGCTCATGTGGTCACTTTACAGGGAAGGGGATGGAGAAGGAAGAAGCTGGATGGCAGCAGGCAACGCGTGAATCCTTTGCTACAAAAACAGTGAGACAGACTCACCCGTTCCCTCTGGGAGTGATCCTAGCGTGGAGCAGCCTGAGGTTCTCGTTCTGAGCCAGTTTATGCTGTGGGGAAGTGAGAAGCTCCTGTCTGGACGCATTGCTGGTCTGTGCTGACTTCGTTATGCATCACACCACAGGAGCTAATGGACTTCTGTGTTAACCTCAGGGGCCAGTGGCTGTATCTCTAAAATGTGTTATCTCTGTCAACTTGGAAACGACTGCCCAATGTTGTCATCCACACTTCATCAGTTCTGGGAGAGAGCAGAGCACTGGGGACAGGGACTGAGACTGTCACAGGTGCTTTGATTTAATTGTTCTCTGCTGTGGATACAGTACATGAGCACGGCGAGATCTCAGACAGTGCCATTTCAGTGATGGTTTATGGAAATAAAACAGGGAGGTGAGTCAGGATGAAGGAGACTGAAGTTATAGGGAAGTGGAGGAAAGAAGAGGTAAGAGAAAGAGTGGAGTGTCAGGGGGGAAATGCAGGGCCAGGGCGAAATAAGGGGCTTAAGGCTCTCCAGGGTTCCCCCAAACCAGCATTTCCCCTCATTGAATACTTTAAAGCTGTTGTATCTGCTTCTGTGCAGGGTAGAAGAGGCAACCAAAGAAGAGAATTACAAAGAGGTTAAGAAGAAGGATTATTACCAGCTTCCTATTCCACGTGCGAATATTCACTTACTGCAGAATTGGGAAGATATGATGCAATGCTGTGAAAAGGTGCTGCAGGTGAGCATTACTGTGGTGTTTAAGCTGGAAGATCAGGGAGCAGAAACTGCGTAACAGGCTGGTACATGGGAGTGCTTATGGGTGCCATTAACACCTCCCTCCTCAAGCCAAGGACTGCAGTGAGGCCTGTAGGCTTGTCAGCCTGGGTAGCATGCTGGGAATTGCTGTGGCAGGGAAACCCCACAGGTGTACTTTGAGTGAACTGTGAATGTCACTTGAGATTGGTGTCCTTTGTACCCCTGCAAAGAGACGCAGCTGTTGAAAAAGCAATACGTGTATCCTGGGTAGTAACTGTTTTTCAAGCTGGTTCAGGCAATTTTTAAGCGTGGACAGTCTGCAAGTGCAGAAAGCTTTTGTCTGTGTTGCAGCCTGGGCAGATTGTTGGCATTGACATGGAGTGGAGGCCTTCGTTTGGCACGGTCGGGAAGCCCCGCGTCTCCCTCCTTCAACTCGCTGTGAGGGATGAGGTGTTCCTGCTCGATTTGCCACGGCTCCTTGAGCAAGCTGAAGTCAAGGGTGAGAAAGAGAAGCTTCCCCATATCATCCAGAGGCTCTACTCAGATGCAGCCATCACTAAACTAGGTAAGGTGCTTCTCCCCTGCCTCAGGTGTTGAAGGCAGCTCAGCTCGTGTGAAGTGCCTGGGTCCTGCTGGGGTTGTCATTCTCTCAGTCCAGTTAGCATGGGATGACTTTTGTATCCTGGGTATTCAAAGACTGCCTATATGAATAAGCAGGGTGAACGGGATGGCTGGTAATGGTAGATATCTCCCTTTTTTGAGCTAGATTTCCAAGTTAGCCTCCCAACTCAGGCTTGGGATTGTCTTGGTTAGTTCCATACCAAACCCTGACCTTCAGATGTGTGGGGAAGCTGTGTTTTCTGGATTGGTTGAGCCTGTCCCAAAGCAGACTTGCTGGACACCAACATTCTGCAGCTTACCACACTGGTTTTAGGTCCTGTTTGGAAGCCCTTGCAGAGGAGTTCAAGGGCTATTTCATTATCCATCCTCTGAAGTTCACAGAGGCTAAAGGCTTGTGGAGTTTATTCTGTTCACCTTTCTCTGATCTAGCAGATTTTAACAAAACTGAGCTTAAACTCAGCGCTTTTCATCCACTTGTTCTGTCTCAGGATCAGGAAAGATTGGAAGTCTGCGATGTTCTCTATCCAAACAGACTTTCTACCAAAGTTTATATATATATCATTAACATTTTGTCTTCAAACTGGAAAAAGCTGCAGCATGTTAGCCATAATTTGAGTTTTGCTAATCATGTGATTATTTTTTCCTTTCCAGGTTATGGGATGTCTGGAGACCTTAGCAGCCTTGCAGCCACATGCTCCACTTTGAAAGGCATGGATAAGCAGTCACAAAGCGTAGTGGACCTACTCACAATAGACAAACTAGTAAGGATTAACACTTGAAAACATGGCAAATTGTGTCTTCTGCCTGCGCTGGTAGATAACTGGCATGATTTCACAGCTTTGTGTTTTTGTATCCTGCACTGGCAGGGAGATGGCTGAGTGAGTGAACAGACCGTTTCTGTTTCTGACCTTCAAGGGAAATCTGATTCTGTAGCAAAACAGAAGCATTCAGTTTTCATCAACTAAAAAGTTAGTGCTTGGTATACTAATAACCTTTCACAGGCTTTGTGCGAGCTGTGGAAAAATGGAACCAAGTGGAGACATAGCTCCATTCAACTAGGGAAAGGTTTTGAACGCGGCGCTGCAGGTGAGTTCAGCACAGCAGTGTCTGTTCAGCTGAGATGCAGATGTCTGCAGTTAGCACACAGCAGCTCAGCGATCTGCAGAGTTCTTGAGGACAGCTGCTTTAATGGGTCAAATTTGCAGAGGACATTTCAGGCTTCAGGCTGGGAGGACCCAGATATTTGGGATGGAGAGCTTAACCTGGGAAGTGCAGTGGTGTCTGAAGTACCTGCAAAAGTATTGGCTCATTTTTATCTGAGAAGTGGCAACTTCAGAAGGGCTGTTGCCCACTGTGTTGCAGGAAGATCTTTCCTCTGGATCCAGGAGGAGAAAGGTGCCGAACCACTGCTGTGCTTTTATTGAGGTGGTGTTCAGCAGCCTTTAGTTTGGCTGAGCACCCCTGCAAACCTCCAGAGAGCCTCAGTCACAACCCTGCTGCTGGGATGCGATGTTGTCAGACAGTGAACATCTTTTCCTTCTCAGGAAGGAAGGATTTCTTTCCAGCAAATGCATTTGTTAAGCAAATAATCAGAAGCTTTATATATCTAATGCCACCCCAGCCCTTGTCTGTGACAATGGGATTCAGTGTGCCAGGCAAGATCTAAAAACGATAGGGTTGCTGTGTGTCCCCACCCACCGAAACAGGAGGTGTTGTAGGATTTGTTTTATAACCACATGTTTTGTATCCTTCTCCTTCCATCAGCTGCAAAAGAGCTCCATTGACTGGAAGAAGGGCAGCCTGAAGGTCGATGCGCTGCCCCCAGAGCAGAGCTGTGAGGATGAAGGGCTCAGGCAGCCAGAAAAAGGGCTCAGCCTCCTGGTGCAACACATCCTGGGAAAACCACTAGATAAAACAGAGCAGATGTCTAACTGGGAGAAACGACCACTGCGGGAGGAACAGATCCTCTATGCAGGTCTGCTCACTGACTGCCTCAAGGTGCATTTCTCCCTTGGAGGCCGTGTTTGTCTGATGTCTGTCACCAGTAAAATCATTAAGCGGCAAATGGCGATTCACTCCTGTATGGAGGAGCCAGCACATGTTCTGTTTGTCCTTTTGTGGACGTGGTTTTAATGGTTGAAGTTTAAACTGCCCAGTGATTCATTATTTCCCTTATGAAGGAATTCCTGTGCTTTGCAGATTCTGTCTGATGAAACATCCCAGTGGAAACTCCTCTCAGTAAATGAAAGGAAGAAAGTCCACATCCTTCTGCCTCATTTCACAGCCTTTCTGGGAAACAAATGCTGTGTTCATTTGTCACAGTGAAGCGCTTGTTAGAGTTAAAAGTGGGTAGATGTGGTGTCAAGAGACTGTAGCACAGGATCTGTGCTGTGGAGGCAACGGTGGCATTTAGTGCTGATTACCCCAGAGTCAGAAGTCTGAGTCTCAATCTTTTCCCGAGGCATCAGAGGACAGCCTGCTGAAGCGAACCAGCCCTTTGTTCGCTCGGCTATCCTTGAAGTTGACACAGTTCCCACAAAAGTTAATCACTAAGACTTGTAAAACTGGCTTGGAGACTTGGCTCCCATTGCGCGGAGCAGAGGCCGCATGGCAGTGCGTGTGGGCAGGTGATTGCAAACAGCTCACTTATTGCTTTTTAAGATATTGCATCTAATGGGGAAGCTGCCTTCCCATAGCTGAGATGCCGTAATAAGCCATGGGCAAACCACTTCTCAGGAACAATAGAGAGTAAAATGGTTTGGCTGAAGCTGCCCTACCTGGTGCTTAAGCAGGCACACTGCAATTTGCATTACGTTAGAGCAGAGGTAACAGAGGGCTGTCACTTTTTCAGTTGCTCTGCATCTATTTTGTGATTGTGCAGTAAAAGAGTACAGGGTATAACGTTAGTAAGTGGAATTTACAAAGATTCTTCCTTGCACTGAGAAGTCTGTTTGACTTTTGAGTGAATCCAGCTCATGCTCATGTTTTGCTTTTTTTCAGCTTCAGATGCATACTGCTTGTTGGAGGTCTATGAGAAACTGTGTAAGGATCCAGAAAGCTTTGGTCTGAGTTCAGACCTGACTGAAAGTCTGGTGGGAAAAGCAAGTGTAAAACCCAGGGCAAAGAAGCAGCTGAATAAACAAGAGGTACCGTCACCTTCTGGACAGGTTTGTAAACAGCTTCAAAGAGCTGCATGTTGCTCAAGACCCCTGTAAATCATATGTTGCTTTGTCTCTCAGTCATAATATTAGCTATGCCTGGCATGCCTGGTTGTAGTCTGTTCTCAGGACTATTGCAGCAAATATCTTCCTTGCTCCTCCCCTTCACAGCTAAGATGTATTTCCTCCTTTGCATACCTCAGTTTGGCTTTCCCTGCAGTTTTAGCTTTATTTGTCCTTGCAAATTTGTCCTTGGTGCAGATCTGTGTGGCATAATCCAGCTGACTTTGCTGGTAGAAATGCTTCTTCTCTGTTTCCTCATTGGTGTGGGCTTGAATTCTGTAGCCTAGGTGTTGCATTAATCAGGTTTCAAAACTCTGGCTTCCTTACTTTTGCTTTTAACTGAACTTCTACACTTTGGTTTCATAATGGGAATGCCCCTTTTATTGCATCCGCAGTAAAAGTCTGCTAAATTAAAAACAATTCATCAAAAGGTCTTTCTGCTGATGGTTTGTGTCTGGGCCCCAGCCCACCATTGCACACTCTGGATCTGTCCTCCCCCCTGCATCCTACCTTGTGGCCGAACTTCAAAACTCAGTTGGCAACTTGTAGCTGTGTGAATGCTGAACTATTTTGGAACATGACTTGTCCTTCTCTCTTGGTAACAAAGTTTTACTTTCAAAATGCAGACATCTGATTGTTTATGCACCTATGAGAACGTTTGCAGGAAGCAAGATTTGTTTATTAACAGACAAGACTCACTGGTCTGTGTTTCTTTCCAAATATTCTCAAATGTGAATGCAGTGCTACCTTCTGTAGACTCATAGAATCATTGAATGGCTTATTTTGGAAGGAACCTTAATGCCTATACAGTTCAAACACCTCTGCCATGGTCTGGTTGTCAAACACTGTATCAGGCTGTCCAGGGCCCCGTCCAGCCTGGCATTGAATGTGTCCAGGGATGGGCATCCACAGCTTCTGTGGGCAGCACTGCCAGGGCCTCATTGCCCTCTGGATAACAATTTCTTCCTAACATCTCATCTAGATTTCCCCTCCTCATTTAAAGCCATTCCCCCCCCCCCGTCCTGTCAGTATCAGACTGTGTAAAAAGTTCTCCTTCCTGATTGTAATCCCCCTTCAACACGCGAGGATCACAATGCGGTCTCCCCGCAGCCTGCTCTCCTCCAGGCTGAGCACCCCCAGCTCCTCAGCCTGTCTTTGCAGCAGAGGTGCTGCAGCCCTCTGAGTGTCCTCGTGGCCTCCTCTGGACCCGCTCCAGCAGCCCCACGTCTTTCCTGCGCCGGGGGCCCCAGGCCTGGACGCAGTACTGCAGATGGGGCCTCACGAGGGCAGAGCAGAGGGGGACAATCCCCTCCCTGCCCGCTGCCAGCCCTCTGTTGGTGCAGCCCAGGGTGCTGCTGGCCTCCCGGGCTGCGGGCGCACACTGCTGCTCGTGTGCAGCTCTGTGCCCACCAGGACCCCCACGTCCTTCTCTGCACGGCTGCTCTCAAGTTCCTCTCCCATCTGTACTCATATCTGGCATTGCCCCAACTCAAGTGCAATACCTCGCACTTGGCCTTGTTGAACCTCACTCAGTTTACATGGGGCCACTTGTCAAGCTTGTCCACGTCTATCTGGATGGAATCCCTTCCTTCTGTTGTATCAGCTGCATCACTCAGCTTTGTGTCATCTGCAAACTTGCTGAGAGTGCACTCAATCCCAGTGTCTGTGTCACTGATAAAAATGTTCAAGAGCCCTGGTCCCAAGATGGACCCCCAGGGGACATCACTCGTCACCGACCTCCACCTGGACCTAGAGCTGCTGGCCACAACCCTCTGTCTGTGACCATCCAACCAGTTCCTTATTCTACCCTTCAAATCCATCTCTCTCCAGTTTAGAGATACGGATGTGGTGTGGGACCATAGCAAAGGCTTTGTGAATCCAGGTAGTTGGCATCAGTTGTCCTCCCTTTGTCCTCTAATGCCATCACTCCATCATAGAAGGCCACCAGATGGGTCAGGCACAATGTGCTGTTGGTGAAGCCATGCTGACTGTCTCAGATCACCTCCCTACCATTCATGTGCCTTAACATCTCTTCCAGGAGGATCTGATCCGTGATTTTTTCAGGCACGGAGGTGAGGCGCTCCAGCCTGTAGTTCCCCAGGTCTTCCTTTCTTCATTTCTTATAAATGGGAGTGATGTTTCCCTTTTTCGCTTCCAGTCCCTGGGAACTTCACCTGACAGCCATGACTTTTCAGATATGACAGAGTGGCTCAGCAGCCACTTCAGCCAGTTCCTTCAGGATCCTGGGATACATGTTATCCAGCCCTATAGACTTGTTCTGCCTCATGAGGTGATCTCAGACTTCCTCTGCTCTTACAGTGGGAGGGATTTTGCTTCCCTGACCCCTGCCTAGAGATTCAGGGGCATGAGAGGCATGGGAAGCCTGGCTGCCAGTTAAGACTGAGGCAAAGAACTCATTAAGTACCTCAGCCTTCTCCATATCTGAAGAAACCCCCCCAAAATCCTCTGGGACAAATCTGAGGCTTTCCCCAGTTTCTTCCTAAGGTGACTGTATTCCCTGGCTTTTCTTTGTCACTCAGCAGTTCATCCCCTTCCCTTGTCAAATCTAGCTTCAAGCTCTGGTGATAAGTCCAGCCAGCTTGCTGCCCAGTGTGTTCTTGCCCCTCCTGGTGAGCTGCATCTCATCCAATGTCAGCATTCACAGTCATTTGAAGGTACATCCTAGGTCATGGAACCCAAAGCCCTGGACATAACGCCATCCACACAGCCATTCTTTCAGCTGGTCTGTTCTCCTCCTTCTGCCCAGATCCCAGTCTCCAGTGCTCCTGATCCCTTCAATGTATTCCCAAGGGACTTAAAGTCTTTTGTGATGTTTTTTGATTTCCCAGTCAGAGCCTCATGTGACTCAGCTTGAAAGATCAGGAGTGGACAGTAGTCGTCCAGCTTTATCATACATAGTGTCCTCTTCCTGATGTCACAAATGTGGGCTCATGGCAGTCAGCAGACTCTAGAGAGGCCTGCTGTCCATGGTTGGACAGAGATACTCTTGATCACAGCTACCTTTCCAGTATCCTCCTTATCAAACGTGTACATCTGCAGTATCCCATTATTCAGATAGTGATGTGCAAAGCCGCTCAGTAGTTTCCTAATTCCTTGGGCTCTGTGTTCATGGGAGTATTGTGCATTACAACATACCTGACTGGCTGCTGCAGGGATGGGAAAAGGCTTCAGGCTTGAATTACCTTGTGAACTCCTGGGTCATCTTTGTATTCTGTACAGTCAGATTCATTAACCACGAGGTAGTTGGTAAAACCCGGACTGGGACTCAGAAAAGCAGACTTTGCCTGCCTGCATCCTGCCTGACTCCAAGCTCTCAGTGTTTCTTTATCCACTACCCAAAGTGGGGCTAATGACACTGTTCTCCTTTAGAAGCCTTTTGCATTCTGCTGGGATGAAACATGAGAAAAAAGCTACATATGGCACAGTTAGCCACTGAATAAACACAACTAAGAGCCAGCTGCTGCTCCTCTACATCTGTTGGAAGGGAGGCAGCACCACATGCTTAAGTATTTTCCGACTACCTCAACACTGAAGGGCCAACTTGATCTGTTATCACAGCACCCTGACGCCTCAGGACATGTCTGTGTTCACCAGGGTCCTTCCAGGAGCTGGGGACAGCCCAGCCTCTCCACGCAGTGCTGCAGAGCCTTCATTGCATGTAGCAGCTTCTGGGAGTGCAGCATCTCACAAATCAAGCCCTGGAGTCTGAGCTGGTTTTAAGAGTCAGCCCAGGTGTGTCTGAATGTTGCTCGACTGTGTTTCCAAGGCTGAATCAGCTCCTGCATGAAATGAAGTGCTGCAAGGATAGCATAGAATCACAGAATCATAGCCCTGCATAGATGGTGGCTGTTCCCTTCTGTCATCCCAGCAGATTCAAGTTCCTGAAGGCAGTGCTGAACCCTGGAGGCTCCTTATTAACTTCCCTTCTCCGTGCATTGTAGTGGGAGCCTCCCAGAGACAAAGTCTCCAACTGCAGGAACTCCCCCAGCAGCAATTTGAAATAAAATAAACACAATTCAGGCACTGCCTATTTTTAAACTTCCAAAGATAACAAGGCCAACATGACTGCTTTGTCTACCTGTTTCTCCCTGTCTGTCAGATCCCCTTCCCACAGAATAACCTTGGAACATCTATATTGATTGCAGTCTAATTTCATAGGGGGATAGCAGTGTGTAAGATATATTTCTGTCTGTGTAAAGCATAGAGGCCAAGGTGGCATTTCTCAAGGGAAAGGCTGCAGATCCTTGCTTTGGGTGACCGGGTGTCTGCAGGTAGATGGCTAGTTCCAGATTAGCCCCACCGTGTGCTGCCTTCTGCTCAGGCTGTAGGTGGTTGTTGAAGAGTTGAAGAAAGGACGTGAAGGAGGAGCTGGGGGTGCTGCAGGATGTGGGGGCAGCTGTAACACATGATAGGGGACAGCGGGGTTTGTCACGGTGGGAAGATGCAGGGAGGCAGAACAGGCATGGTGACAGTCAACCTTCTTCTCTGCTGCTTACAGATCTCTTGCTTTTCCGTAGCAATGCAGAGGATCTGACAAAGAGATCTCACGTCCCCCTGCTCCCATCTCCTCAAAGGAGTTCAGCGTGGTCTGTGATAACATGCTGCAGGGCCTTGGGCGCTATCTCCGCTGCCTTGGTGTGGACGTCCGGATGCTGGAGAATGAGGATGACCATAGGAAAGCTGCTGAGGTCAGTGGTGCGTGTGTGTTTATAACTCCCATCTGCACTCCTTGGAGCAGCTTACTGAATTACCAATAAGTCACTCTCAGGAGCTGCAAGCACACGGCTGAGTCCCAGCTCTCTGGTTCAGCCCAAGAAGCTGTGCTGTGTGGCAACTGGAATTTGGTAGTCCCTGCAACAGTGTGTGGGCTTGGTGCCCCATTTCCAGGAGGAAGGAAGTGAGCAGAGTGTGCTGTGAACTCAAATCTCTTACAAGTCTGTGTGTTTGATGGAATCACAGAATCACAGAATCACAGAATTGTAGGGGTTGGAAGGGACCTCCTGAGATCATCGAGTCCAACCCCCCTGCCAAAGCAGGTTCCCTACAGCAGGTCGCACAGGTCGGCATCCAGGCAGGTCTTGAACATCTCCAGAGAAGGAGACTCCACCACCTCTCTGGGCAGCCTGTTCCAGTGCTCCGTCACCTCACTGTAAAGAAGTTCTTGCGCATGTTTGTGCGGAACTTCCTATGCTCCAGTTTCTGGCCATTTCCCCTTGTCCTGTCTCCACTCACCACTGAAAAGAGTCCGGCCTCGCCATTCTGCCCCCCACACCTTAGATATTTATAGACGTGGATCAGGTCCCCTCTCAGTCTCCTTTTCTCAAGGCTGAACAGACCCAGTTCACTCAGCCTTTCCTCATAGGGGAGATGCTCCAGGCCCTTCACCATCTTCGTGGCCCTCCGCTGGACTCTTTCCAAGAGATCCCTGTCTTTTCTGTACTGGGGAGCCCAGAACTGGACGCAGTACTCCAGATGAGGTCTTACCAGGGCAGAGTAGAGGGGGAGGATCACCTCCTTTGACCTGCTGGCCACGCTCTTTTTAATGCACCCCAGTAAGCCATTGGCCTTTTTGGCCACAAGGGCACACTGCTGGCTCATGGCCAACCTGTCGTCCACCAGGACACCCAGGTCCCTTTCCGCAGAGCTCCCGTCCAGCAGCTCATCCCCCAACCTGTACTGGTGCATGGAATTATTCCTCCCCAGATGCAAGACTCTACACTTGCTTTTGTTAAACCTCATCCGTTTTTTTTCTGCCCAGCTCTCCAGCCTATCCAGGTCTTGCTGAATGGCAACACAGCCTTCAGGCGTGTCAGCCAATCCTCCCAACTTCGTATCATCGGCAAACTTGCTGAGGGTGGCCATTATCCCCTCATCAAGGTCATTGATGAAGATGTTGAACAAGACCGGACCCAGCACAGACCCCTGAGGAACACCGCTGGTTACAGGCTTCCAACCGGACTCTGCACCACCAACAACGACCCTCTGTGCTCTGCCAGTCAGCCAGTTCTCAACCCACCTCACTGTCCACTCATCTATCCCACACTTCCTCAGCTTTGTTATAAGTACGTCATGGGGGACAGTATCAAATGCCTTGCTGAAATCAAGGTAAACTACATCCACTGCTCTCCCCCTATCCACCCAGCCAGAGACAACATCATAGAAGGCTACCAGGTTGGTCAAGCACGACCTCCCCCTTGTGAACCCGTGCTGACTACTCCTGATAACCTCCTCTTCTTCCAGTTGTCTGGAGATGACATCCAGTACAAGCTGTTCCATCACCTTTCCAGGGACAGAGGTGAGGCTGACTGGCCTATAATTGCCTGGGTCTTCCTTCTTGCCTTTTTTGAAGACCGGGGTGACGTTGGCTATCTTCCAGTCTTCAGGCACCTTCCCCGTCTTCCAAGACTTCTCAAAGATGACAGAAAGCGGTTCAGCAATCACCTCTGCCAGCTCCTTCAGCACCCGTGGATGAATCCCATGGGGTCCCATGGATTTGTGAACATTGATGTTGCCTAGGCGCTCCCGGACCACCTCTTCCCTGACAGAAGGGGGGTCTTCCATTCCCCAGATCCTCTCACTAATCTCCAGGGTCTCAGATTCCTGAGGGGGAGCTTTTTCACTGAAGACAGAAGCAAAAAAGGCATTCAGTATCTCCGCCTTCTCAGCATCCCCCGTTACCAGAACACCCCCGTCACTTAGCAGGGGAGCCACATTCTCCCTAGTCTTCCTTTTACTGTTAATGTACTTGAAAAAACCTTTTTTATTATCCTTTATCCCCTTTGCCAGATTTAATTCCAGGCGGGCTTTAGCCTTCCTTGTCGCATCCCTGCAGACCCTGACAACATTCCTGTATTCTTCCCAAGTAGTCAGACCCTTTTTCCACATTTCATGGGCCTTCTTCTTTCCTTTGAGTTTGTGCACGAGCTCCTTGCTCATCCACACAGGTCTCCTGCCACCCTTTCCTGATTTCTTCCTCACAGGGACGCACCGATCCTGAGCTTGGAAGAAGAGCTGCTTAAATGCTGACCAGCTCTCACAGGCCCCCTTGCCTTCCAACACCCTAGCCCATGAGACAGCTCCAAGTAGGCCCCGAAAGAGATCGAAGTTGGCTCTCCTAAAGTCCAGGATAGCAATCCTACTTTTTGCTTTACTTCTTCCACTCAGGATCTTGAACTCCACCATCTCGTGGTCACTACAACCCAAGCTGCCCCCGACCTTTACTTCCCTGACAAGCCCTTCTCTATTAGTGAGAATAAGGTCCAGCAGTACCCCTCTCCTCGTCGATTCCTCAACCACCTGCATCAGGAAGTTGTCTTCAACACATTGCAGGAACTGTCTGGACCGCGCATGCCTGGCCACATTGCTTTTCCAGCAAATACCTGGATGATTGAAGTCCCCCATAAGCACCAGCACCTGGGATCGTGACGCTGCTTCCAACTGTTTGTGGAAGGCCTCATCAACCTCCTCCTCCTGATCAGGGGGCCTGTAGCACACACCCACAACGGTGTCAGCCATACCAGCCCGCCCCTTGATTCTTACCCACAAGCTCTCCACTGCTACACCACTCTCCCCCAGGTGGAGTTCAATACATTCAAGCTGCTCTCTTACATAAAGAGCAACTCCACCACCCCGCCTTGCCGGCCGATCTTTCCTAAAAAGCACATAGCCCTCCATGACAACATTCCAGTCATGCGAGCTGTCCCACCACGTCTCTGTGATCGCAATGAGATCATAGCCATGTGACCGCACGCAGATCTCTAACTCTTCCTGTTTATTTCCCATACTGCGCGCATTAGTGTATAGACACTTCAGGGAGGCAGCATTCCCCTGCCACACTCCATCCCTTCGAACTCCACCCTTGTCACCCATCAAGTTCACTTTTGAGCCTTGAACTACCTGAACCTCAGCAGTCCTCATTTTGTCCCCTTCCCCCTTCTTACCTAGTTTAAAGATCTTTCAATGAGGCCTGCCAGCTCCTGGGCTAGGATCCTTTTACCCCTTGTAGACAGTTGAGCTCCATCTGCAGCCGTCATGCCAGGAGCCGAGTAAATTGCCCCATGATCAAAAAAACCAAAGTTCTTCTGCCTGCACCATCCTCTAAGCCATTTATTGATGAGGAGGGCTTTTTTGATCCTCACAGAGTCCTTCCCCGCCACTGAAGGGATAGAAGAGAAGATCACTTGCATTCCCGCACCATCCAGTACCCTCCCCAGACCCTTGAAGTCATTTTTGATTGCCCTTAGGCTTCTCTTGGCAGTATCATCACTGCCAACCTGAACTACCAATAAGGGGTAGTAGTCAGACGGGCGAATAAGCCCAGGCAGCTTTCTAGAGATGTCCCTGACCCGTGCCCCAGGAAGGCAGCACACTTCCCTCCGGGTGGGGTCAGGACGACATATCGGGCCCTCAGTTCCTTTTAGAAGGGAGTCTCCTACAACTATCACCCTCCTTTCTTTACCAGAAGAGGCGGTCTTCAAGCGTGGAGCCGACCGCCTCTCCTTAGCAAAGCTCAGAGGCTGTTCCACCACCTTGTTCTCAGCCTCCTCACCCTCCAGTTCCAGGGTTTCAAACCTATTACTTAGGGGCACCTGAGGAACCGAGGTAGGTCGGGGAGGGCACCGCCTGCGTCGCTGAGGTGGGACATGCTGCCATTCCTCTTCTCCTCCCAAGTCAGCTCTCTCATTTTTACTACGGTAAGGCAGAGAGTCCACTACAGGCTGGGGGTTGCAATCTCTGCTTGTTTCTTGCAGAGAGTTACACCACCAGTCTATCTCCCTCTCGCAGTCCCTAATGGATCTTAACCGCTCCACCTCCTCCCTAAGCTCTACCACAAGGCTGAGCAGCTCATCCAACTGTTCGCACCTCACGCAGGTGGCATCCCTCCCATTGTCCCCCGGCAGCAGCAGACTCAGGCACTCCCTGCAGCCAGAGACTTGGACCGCTGCAGATCTGGGCAGTCCCTCTGTCTGGGTCGCCACAGACTTGTTGGAGCATGCCCGACGTCTGGTAGAGACCATGTTTGAACTTACAGTCCCTGGGTCAGCGAGTGGGAGAGCGGTCACCTGCCTTGAAGCTGGTCTCCCTGCAGGGGAGTGCAGACAGGGGTACCTTACAAAAGCACCACGTTAAGACAGCCTGGGAGAGAGCTGTACTACCTCCTCCGCTGTGCCTCTCGAGGGCTTTTTGTAGCGGCGATCAGGAATGGAATGGAATGGAATGGAATGGAATAGAATAGAACAGTTCAGTTGGAAGTTCAGAGATCATTAAGCCCAACTATCCAACAACTTTGGGGCTGACCAAAAGGTAAAGCATATCAATGAGGACATCATCCAGATGCTTCTTGAACACTGACAGGCCTGGGGCACCAACCACCTGTCTAGGAAGCCTGTCCCAGTGTCCACAGTAAAGAAATTTTTCTGACCTCCAGTCTGAACCTCCCTGGTACAGCTTTGTGCTGTTCCTGTGCATCTTGTCAGTGGTTATTCAGAGAAGAGACCAGAGCCTCCTTTTGCACTTCCTCTCCTTGGGACATTGTAGAGAGCAGTGAGCTCATCTCTTGGCCTCTTTCTCAGACCAGAAGATTGAGGTGTCTCAGCACACACCTTGCCAGCTTTCTTGCCCTCCTCTGGGCATCCAAGTTGTTGACAGCTGGGATGCTTCAAGTCATTAGAGGAATATGAACAGTACA